GTGGAATCACTTGCATGACAGGGCGGAGGTATGACATCGGAATGCTTCTCGAAAAGCTGATCACACTCGCAACCTATCCAGAGGATACAATATGGCTTGTGCTGATGACAAACCGCGGCTCGGAAGTGGACAGCAGGGGGCAGAGGTCTGACGAAGTGTTGGTGCACTGGCTTTGTCTCGTCTAGGGTCGTCTGGAAGGTTATCTAGTCTTGGCACAGGCACACCCCTGGCGGTTGACGACGCTACGAAAAGGGCACGGCTTATTAACGCAGTTGCAAATTCGGCCTTTCGATGGTTTCCAATGTGCGCGGTCCCTGTCCAGACCAATCTTCGAGGCCAACGGACAGGTCAGGGACAAGTCAGGTAGGCTCCAGCAGCAGGGTCGACAACGACTCGTGCGTGCACGCGTACTGTACACGGAGATTGCGTTCGGGGCGGTGGTTGGCTTGCCGATCACGCTGGGATTCCCGGGCAGATCTTCGTTAGGTACCGACGATAATAAGACTGAAGGCTAAACAGGCGAGTGTGACGACACGGCAGCAACGTCGGGATGACAAGATGCTACCATGTACCTCTCTTTCCGCATTCTCATTGCGTCCCACTCCGCGGCACCGCGAGTTTGGGAGATGAAGAAGGTTGCGGGTTCGTCGGAGCCGGGCCAGACGCCGCTGAGGGGGTTGCTGCACCTGCTGGCCGCACTGGTTGTAGTGCAGGTGCGGGGGACCGCGGCTTTTAGGCAGGTTGTATCGCCGGCGGTTGATGAAAGGATTGCTCGCAGAAACCAAGGTTGGGGTTTTGCCGTCGTGCGGACGCCACGGAGTCTTTGAAGTCCCCGCGAAGAAGCACGACATGCACGAACGTGCAATGTGTACGCAATGGCCATATCTCTGACCATGCCCACTGTTATCCGTCACCACAGGCAATGATCTGGCGGTCAGTCAACGGGTGGCTGACATTAGTCGCTGCCATTGCGACAAGTCGACACCCATGACATGTCGCCGTCGAGGCGCTTGATAGCGGGAGGCTGAGTTGGGCCTCGCATAACTCCAGTCTACAGACGGGTGCAGACTGGCGGGGACAGTGTCATTCGGGTGTCGATCGATCGGTGGGCGGTTGAGGGTGCTGCAGCGACGAGTCAGAATGACACCGCCACCAGCATCCGCCAGCCCAATGTCTATCACCTCAAATGAATGTTCCGAGCTGTCAAAGGTGGCCTGACAAGCACCGGACACTGGTGACTCTGCGCGGGTGAAGGTGTGCATACATGGAGGCGATGGCGAATGGAGGGGAGGGACGAGAGAAGGATAGAAAGGGGAGGGGGGGGGGCTCCCAAGCATGTGGTAAGGACATGCCACCTGGCCCCGTCAGGTGCCGGGGGAAAAGGGGACCACAGGGACGAAGAGCTTTGAAAGCTAATGCAGAAGCGACTGGATGGGCAGTAGTAGCCCAGCACTGTGTCAGGTTTCTCTCTCCCACGCGCGCGCTCACAGGCTGGGGCCAGACCAGGCGGTCGCAGTTCGTGTTCGAGGTAGCGCGCGAACTCCGGCTGATTGAGTTGCGTTGGCTTGCTGCTTGTGTTGAGTTCCCGGCTGAATGGTGAATACTTTCCAGCTTCCACACTGCTGGGACGCAAATTGATTAACGGCATGTCTCGCCCGCTGAGCCGTGGGCATCGAAAATTGGAGGGTAGCTTCGGCGACAGTTCTAGGCCAGGCTGGACTGTGTCGCTGTGAGACTGGCGTGTGCGCCCACGCGAAGTGGCCACGCAGTCAAAAATTCGTGTGTGGTTGTTGTGCTTTGCTTTGCTGTGCCGCTTCTTGCTGACCGGTTCCGGCAGACTGGTTGAGGGTCGACTTTCGTGCGTCATGATGGGGAGCCTTCGCCCCCCCCCCCCCCCTCCTCCCCTACCCTCCTGTGCAGTACATTACTCGTACAGTGCCCAGCACGACATTACGTTGAGTTTCTGTTTGGAATGCATCGTGGCGCACGATCCTTGTGGCCCTCGCTCGTGGCGTGCCGCAGTAGCAGAGAAATTTCAGAATGTGTCAAAGCCGGGTTGGGGCAAAGCCAGACTAGAATTGACACGAGAACGAGAACAATGCCACAATGCTCTTCACAACTCTAATAGCCCGGCGAATGCATGGCGCGGCCAAGCTATGGATGGTCTAGATCAGATACTGGAACTGAGAATGGTCAGATTTGAATGCGGCGGGGCTGGGTTTGTGGCGCACAGTTAGGCCGCACGCGCGGAAAGGTTCGCGGGTCTCGCCAAAGGCTACCGCTTGAACATGGAGCGACGTCCGCGGCTTTCTGGTCCCTTGTTCCCCTGCTTGTCGTGGGTTGGAAGTGGACGTGCCCTGCTCCCAACACACACTCTCTTGCCTGTCCGCCTGGCAGGCACGGTACTCAAGCCAGAAGCCAGACCTGTCCCGCAGAAACGCGCCGGAGCTCGTCCGGAGTTACTGTACGGAACACTGTGTACTGTCTTGCATCCTCGGACGTGGGCTCCCGTTTGGATGGTTCGAGGTGGAGTTTCACTGGGGATTGTCTGTGCCTAGTCTGTTCACCAGCAGGGGTGAGAAGGGGAGGGGGGGGCGGCCAAGATCCATACCCAGGCATCTTGGCCATCTGCCCGGGGTCAAGGTGCTCAGAAAGCTCCGTGCTGGTGTGCATCGGGCGCCTGGGGCGCTCGCCAGTCATCTTCTCACAACGGCCTGATCACCACCATGTTGTCCATTTCTTGATCATCTGGCTGTTGGAGAGCGAGTAGGCAGCAGAAAAAAATCTTCATCGCAAAACTGAACAATGCCAATTGACGTGACGCGGTGCCACTGGCCATCCAACTCCCGGTTTGCGCTTTGGGTACCTTAGCCTACAGACCAGACTTCGCGTGGAATGTGAGACACACCGTGGTTTTCTATTCTTTCTTTCTTCGAAAGTACGCAAAGAAGCACATGGAGGGGCTTTCCACGCGCCTCGGGTGGGCTCTCTAGGTCCCAGTGCCAGGGAAACCGACAGCGCTAGAAGGCACCGTCTACTTCGCAGGGTGCTGCGCCTGGAACCGTCATCTTAATGCTTCGCAGGTCGGGTGCCCCCCCCCCCCCCCTCTGCGTGCGGGCCGCTGGACCACCAGTTGCCCAACTGCCCGGCAGGGACGCAGCGGGCGCCCTAGGCCTCTTTACAGTGGACCTGGGGCCGCTAAACGCCGTTAGTCACCTTGTCTTGGATCGCATGATGGAACGGACCTGGACATGGACGTACATGTATCTTGGCCAGTAGGCAGTTAGCCTCACGACGGATGATGAGCAGTTCGTAATTCGTGATCAAGGCTAGCAGAGATGAGAAGGAGAATGAATGACTCTTGACTCCTCTTGACTCGCCCGTAGGGCTCAGAGGATCCTGGCCTGCCGCAATGATCATCCACGTCGAGTTCAGTCATGCCGATGGGCACAAAAGCACAAGCCAGACGCTCGAGGCCCAGCAGCCAAGAACCTTCACCTCATCGTGCATGATGCCGGGCCGGTCCCAGTACCAGTTTCCGCCCAGGCTTGCTCCGTTGTTACCTCTATTCAGGTGGGCAGGCAGGCCCAGGGGGGGTAGCTTGGGGGTCAGGCGGCTCGGCCGATGTACACACGCCTAAGATGCTCACATACTGTGCACTTGAACACAGTGCGGTGCGATGGCCGCGGTGCGACGACACAGGGAACACAGCAAATGGAAGGCTAACGGAGCCGACCAAGACAAGAACCCGAGTGGAGAGTGAAAGACAGGGCATCGTAGGCTAGGCGAGGTGGCAAGGGTGGCAGGCCAGAACCGAGCCCCAAGTCCCAAGTCCGGAACCTGGTGTGTGCGCCTCCCTGTGATCCCATGTCCTCGGGAGCAGCCCCCTCTGCCCCCCCCCCAACCCGCTATCGTCTCTGTTGTTGGTTGTGTCATTTGCATGTGAGCTCCACCGACAGCACTAAGTGGAGTAGCTCTTGTCGACGGCGTGGACAGGGACACCCAAGGAAAGGCAGGAAATTGTGGGGCCGCTGTTTCTTCCATTCCCATTGCAGCGGACTGGCCCCTGACTGGCCAGCCAGGATACCTCGAGTCTTGCCCTGGCTGCAAGAGCGAGGGAATTCCCTGTTTGAGCTGCCGCTGCTCTGGTACGTGCGTGACGCTGGTGGGTGTTGTTGAAGGGCTGGCGCACTGGCGCTGACAATGGCGGCGTATCGCGACAGGCCTCTGGGCTGATGCAGTCGGACCAGCAGGTGCCATGGCGTAAAGAGGCAGGAGGCACAGAAGTAGCATCAGCAGTAGCTACGGACTGGCAGGCAGGTTAGGGTGCCTGAGCAGGGCAGGCACAGGTAGAGCGGTACTAGGCAGTCGTAGCGTTCCTCACCATTGAAGGAAGTGCAAGTACAACGCAACTACCCGGCCGCCCCTCCCCCATTGGCGCTGGGTCCCGCCACAGTGCGCAGCCGTCTGAACAGACTAGCACCTGCACCGTCCGTCTGGCCTTCATCCACCCTGCCCTCCCCGTCCCGGATCCCGACTGTCTCTCCCGCTCTCCTCTTCTTGAACCACCTTTCAGAGCCGCCTTCAGCACTTTGGTCTGCGGCGTCAGCTCGACATACACATCTAATCGTCAGAGACCAGACTGACGAGTTCGATTGTATTCGCCAACACCTCGACCTTCCAGTGATTGTGAGAGCCTGGATTCCCTTCCGAGTCGCCCTCTTGTACGAGCTGTTCGTCAGACTGTAGGAGGAAGAGAGCGAGAGACATCACCCGGCAAAAGGCCCGACACTCCACGACTCGGACCTCACGACCAACAGCACCCTAGTCTTTGCACCGCAAACTCATTGGCGACTTACGAACGAGTGTTTTTTTGAGAACTCGGATGAGGACCAGCACCGACGCACATTCTTGTTAACATCCCGGCATAATCACTCAAACATCAACAATACAGCACGGTCGCGGACAAGTGCGCATCGTTGCTCATCTTTATCGCCACCATGAGCTCACAGGCACAGGCGGGGCCTTCGGTGCCCCAGGAGAAGGAGAAGAAGGGCTTCGGGAAATTTCTCTCGAGAGCCAAGACGATTTTGAAGAAGGGCGAATCAAGCAAGTCCAAGTCTGGCGCTGCCGCCACCAGCGCGACAGCCAATGTTCGCACGTCAGTTCTCCAAGCACACCAAGTTCACATTCCTGAATAGGATTCTAACACGTCACAGTGCTGTTCAGCCTCCCAAGGCTACTGCCGCCCAACAGGCCGCCGCCGAGCAGGCTACCTCCAGGCTGGAGAATCCCGTGACGGAAGCCGTCCAGCCGGCTGAGACGACCGATTCTAAGCTTGCGGATCACGAGGGCGTCCGCAAGGTCCAGAGGAAGGAGCTTTTTGAGGAGCGTGCACGAAAGCTTGGCGAGAAGTACGGCCTGGAGATCAAGCAGAGCGATTGGTTCAGCACCGAGGGTACTGCACTACGCGTCGAGAAGCCCATCCGCATGCGCGTACATCGCAACTGTGTCTCCTGCAACGCTGCCTTCAGCTCTGCCAAGGAGTGCCCCAACTGTGGTTCCACCAAGTCGAAGCGCTACCCTCCCAAGCGTACCGAGGCCGAGAAGATTGCGAGTCGTGAGAGGCGCGCCGCCATCCTGAAGTCTAACAAGGAGAACCCTCCCATCGTCCCCGACTACGGATACTACCCTGACGGAAAGGAGATTGTTCTCAAGAAGCCCAGCAAATGCGGTGGTCAGGATCTCGTTCACAAGAAGCCGCGCCAGAGAATCCGAAGAACCTGTCACGAATGCCAAGGCCTGTTCATTGGCGGCAGCAAGGAGTGCGCCAAGTGTGGCCACGTCCGTTGCACCGACTGCCCTCGAGACCCGTTAGTGTTTCCATTTGATGGCCTTTTTATCTGCATATGTGCTAATATTCTTGCAGCCCCAAGAAGGACAAGTACCCCTTTGGCTATCCTGGCGACGTGTTTGGCCCCAACGCCATCCCACACCACGAGTGCCACGAGTGCAGAAAGATGTTCCCCGGCGGCGTCGCGGACGGCACTGCCTGTCTCAAGTGTCAACACCCCAAATGCGCCGACTGCCCGCGACTCAAACCCCGCAAGGTCGAACCAGAACCAGACCCCGACGTGCTCAGGAGCGTCCAGGCCAAGCTCGACGCTCTCAAGATCAGCTAGGGCCATGTTGGCGGCCTTGGTGGGCGTTGATGTTTGCGGGGTAGCGAGGTTGAGGCGATGATGACAAGCGAGTTTGCAAAAGCTGATTTGTATTTTTCTTTGCAACCCATTTATTCCACTTCTTGGCGAGAATCTCTGGTGTTGATTCATGTTCACTGCTTTTCGATCCGAGACGATGGAGTACGGTGCAGCGAGCGTCCTTGAGCTCATCCAATTGCATCCGGAGGCATATTCAGCAGACACAGGGGCTATATGCGTAGGATTGTGAGGCATGGCAGCGAGCTCACGGTCTCTGGTTTTAGTGCCGATCAGTGTGCTCAGCATTGAGACGAGGTTGGATTGACAGCATTGCGCTGCGGCACGAATAGCTTGATGGATTCTAGCACCCCCTTTGAATCTTGCAAACATGTTTCTCCACTCGCTTACACTGGTCCAAGTGTAACGTCCGTAAGAAATCTGGGCAGTCGTTGATCCGTTGTACCGCTGCGAAGGGAGGGGTGGTAATCAGGAACATGGGCCAGGGCAAATCACCAAGCTGGCAAGGGATGGTGAAAATCGCAGCACAAATTATGGATCTACTGATTGATGCCCAAGTCAGGTCCTTTCGGGTGAATCGACAAGATGCCAGGCAAGTGGGTTGCAGAGACTATGGCAGGCGTAATGCTCAGGTACCTAGATCTCCTAGCATTTCCTACCCAACCTCAACAGAAGCACCCTCCCGCACGGATCCTGATTGATGTGCTGCTTATATAGGCATTCTTTGTTTCCGGACCTCCAAGGGGGTGACAGATAGAGCCGCACTCCAACTCCGCCAAATACAGATATCATCCAGACTGACGCCTAGCTTCAGAACCCTCGCAACACCTGCTATCTCAATGAAATGCTCTGAAGTTCTACCTACTAGATAATCGGCGACATGTTTGGAGGCACATCTCCTTTTATTCATCTTGAGCCGATGTATAGTATAGTATGACAGTTCAGAGCGAGCTTACCTTGAAGGAGTGTGGCCTTTTTTTTTTTTTTTGTGTTTGTCACCCCCCCCTGCCCAACCTGCCATGTCACCCACCCACACGCGCGCACTCGGCCGCTTTTTCACGATGCCGAGATTTGGAACGCCGTGCTCAGCTACGACACGGTGGGTTTGGGGCCGTGGGGCGCCCTATACTGGATCCCCGCCCCGCAAATGAAGCTGTCTCGTCGTTCGCGGCATCCGGGCGGGAGCCGGATGCTGGGCGTCGTGCCAGGTGCACAAGAGAGAGAGCGAGAGAGAGAGAGAGAGCACGTCTGGGGCGGAGAGGAACTTGGAACATGGTTCAGGTGGCAGGGTCGTCGGTCGGGACCAGCATGTCAAGGGCGCAAGCAGGATGTGGGTAAAAAGGGGGGAGGAGGTCCCCTTGCTGGATTGGATCTTCATCAAGAGCACCTCAGGCGACCATTCGGCTGGGATCTTCGAAAGATGGCAAAGGGTCGGGAGGTTATGTGACTGAGCATAGCGAAACGAGATGGGCAGCGTAAAAAAAAATTACAAACAAAGGGCAAAGAATGCGGACGGAACATGACTGACGAGAGGCGACGATCGGCTGGTTGGCGAGCACACCGCTGGTCTCCTGGGGGTTGCTTCCGTAGGCGCGGCATCGATCCGAGTCAACATCCATCAAGCCCCCCTCTCCCCCCATTGCGGGGACCAGAAATGTCCGGCGCGTATTGGGGGGACGAGGTGTGTGCGGACGAATTGATAAAAATAAATCAACATTGGGAAAGAGATTGAGTAGAACGCTTTCTCGTTTCAGTGGCGATGCCGTGGGAGGGGGGTTTTGATGTCGACACGCGTGGTGTGGTAGCTGGTTTGCCAGACCACGGTGTTCTCTGTCATACCTACTACCTAGGTACCTAAGGCAAGGTAGGCAAGGTAGGTAGGTATATGAACTTGGGTGCGGCGCAGTCAGTCACTCTTGGATGTTGATCCGTAGTGGTAGTGCATGTTACAGAACCTACCCAAGGTAAGGTAGATAGGCCTGCCTCGTTCTGAGAGGTGTCAGCACGAAGCCCCCACACCCTCCCCAATGGAAACAAAGCCTGCAGGACCCTTGAAGACACACCCTTCCATCTGCCATCCATTGGTGCCCATAGTCCACCCAGGCGGCGTCTAGAACACCTTCTTTGCCAGCGTGGATTCCTCTAGGCCGTCAAAACCGACTCCCGAGCCCGCCTGCGAAGCAACCTCGACGCACACCCTGCCACCCACGATGCGACCGCCGACCGGTCTCGTCGGGTCGCTTCACGAGGCCCAGACGCAAGCGACGCCCCGCCAATGCTGCCCCGGAGGCGACAAGGCTCTTGGCTTGCATCACGCCCGCAGCGACACACACATTCCCCCCCTCTCTCATTCACAGACAAGCGCACACCATCTCGGCGGCCGGGCAGGCTAAGGACCTTGGTGACAGGGGGGAGCTCCTCGCCAGAACAGGGGGAGCTCCAGCACTGACAATCACAGCCTGATCTCACGAGAGGGGGGGAGCATAGAGAGGAAGGGAAGAGGTAGAAAGAGAGAGAGAGAGAGAGAGAGAGAGACAAGAAGTGTCGTGGGTGCTCGCAACCCCGCCCGCAAGCAGTCACACCATCTCTATGCAAGCCATGCCACGTCCATCGAGACGAAGACGAGCGGCGGCATGGAAGAGAGAGAGCCTTCTCGTGGTTCTTGTGTATCGTGAGATGTCGTGCCTCTCTATATATCTTTCCCCTCTTCTCATGGTTGTTCGACCACGGTGCCTAACCCCGTCTTCATCCTCCTCCTCCTACCAATGTCCTCCTAAGGGCAGCCCCTTCGCTAGGCACGAAAAGGTACCCGTTCCGACTTCGCCTCCCAGACACCCAAAACACACTGAACTCGTGTCGATCTTGAGACCCTCGACGATCACACCCCACGCCCCGTTCCTTAACCAAACCCCCAATTGATCCATTCACACATCCAATTCCGTTCCAGCTTCCCTGTCTGCCTCCAATTGAAACCCCCACACGTCATCTGCCCCATTCCTCGAAACCGCGATCAGAGCTCCCAGCTCCCCCATTCTGCCCATCAGCACCGCACACAGCTCTACAGCTACCCCGCCAAGCTACCTGCTTCCACGCCTCCCTCTACACAACCGCCGCCTAAGAACCATTTTTTTTTTCTCAATCCATTGGGATTTTATTTTTTTCGTGGTCCCTCGTCTGCTTCGCCATCCTAGTCAGGGACCCCCGACCGGTATTGCCCCCTGGGATCTTTCTGCTTAGCTCAGTCGTCTTCGGAGCACTTAACTACGACTCGCCTCCGGCCCTCGGCAGCATTTGTTACCCTCCTCCTACCTCCTCCTTCCTCTTTCTATCCTTCTCTCTTCTCGATCACCTACACACCCGAGAACTCCACGATACCAGGCGATCCAAGAACCAGGGCCTGAACATAGCAATTGCTGCTTCTTCTCCTCCTCCTCCTCCTCGATATTCCCACTCAACCGTCTCTCACACAAACTACACATCATGTTCCGCCCCGTGGGCAACCGCCTTGCGGCTCGCGCCCTTCGCACCCGCACCCAAACGGCCGCCTTCACCTCCTCTTCCTCCTCCGCCCCAGCCCCTCTGCTTGCACGTCAGGCCCAGCGGTCCCAAAACCAGTCACAGCAGCGCCGCGGCCTCCGCGTCGGAGCGCCCCTGGCCGACAAGCCCGGCTCCTACTCGCGTACTGACCCTGAGGTCACAGTCGAGTACCCGGAGGACCACGAGCTCCCCAGCTCCAAGGTCGTTCGTGGCCACGGCGGCGGCTTCGCGAAGCCAACCCTCGCCTCCTTCTCCCTCGAGGACCGTGTGACCGTCATCACGGGCGGCGCCCGCGGCCTCGGCCTCGTCATGGGCCAGGGCGTCCACTACTCCGGCGGCGACCTCGCCATTGTCGACCTCAACCTCGAGGAGGCCGAAACCCAGGCCCGCAACCTCATCGACGCCTTCAAGAAGGAGAACCCCGAGGCCGAGCACACCCCCAAGGTCACGGCGCACTACGCCGACGTCTCTGACCCCGAGTCCGTCGACGCCTGCATCGCCGACGTCATTGCCAAGCACGGCCGCATCGACAACCTCGTCACCTCGGCTGGCTTCACCGAGAACTTTGACGCCGTCAGCTACCCCATCGACCGCATGCGCAAGCTCTGGGGCGTCAACGTCGACGGCACCTACCTCTTCGCCATTGCCGTCGCCAAGCACCTCATGGAACGCAAGGCCCAGGGCAGCATGGTCTTCATCGGCTCCATGTCCGGATCCATTGTCAACATTCCCCAGCCCCAGGCGTGAGTACCTTTCGTCCTTTTCCTTTTCTTAGTCTCTTCGCCATCCCAAATCCTGCACCTACAGACCAGGCAGCGAGAGAGAGAGAGAGAGAGAGAAAGAGAGAGAGAGCGAGAGCTAACAGCATCCACAGTCCCTACAACGCCGCCAAGGCCGGTGTTCGCCACCTTGCTGCCTCCCTGGCCGTCGAGTGGGCCCACTGCGGCATCCGCGTCAACTGCATCTCCCCCGGCTACATGCTCACGGCCCTCACCCAGAAGATCCTCGACGACAACCCAGACCTCAAGAAGAAGTGGATCTCCCTCATCCCTCAGGGCAAGATGGGTCAGCCCAAGGATCTCATGGGTCCCGTCACCTTCCTGCTCTCCGATGCTTCGCAGTACGTCACCGGCGCCGACCTCCGCGTCGACGGCGGATACACCGTCACCTAAGCGAGAGGACGCGGCGACGAGCCATGAATAAAGGACATGATCATGGTGGGAGGACGAAATCCCCGCTGCTCGCAAAGGGGAAACGTCATTTGCGTGCTGTTGGGCTTCCTGCGAATTGGACCCGCTACGATGGGACCATGACGTATGTGGTGTGGTGTGAAGTGGGAAGAAAAATGCGCGTCGCATGAGCGGCGGCGTACATTTGATGTTCGCAACCAACTAATTCGGAAAAATATGGAACACACATGAATATTT